AAATGCTGTTTGAGGGAGGAGTCCTGCCAATGACACACTTGTTATGACAGATGAAAAGATCATCATTATGCCTGGGCTCCCTGCGGGAGTGTGTTCAGGCATCCGTGACATTTAATCACCACGTGCCTCCACCGAGGTTGGCTTCTTCAAAGTTGTTTAAACTTTTCATTTCTTCATCCTAACATGGAAACTTGTCTGCTGGTACTCAAAGGAAAGGAAGGAGACCTGGGTAAGGCTTGGGGGCTGGCACCCCTGTTGTCTGGAGAGGGACCCTCAGTCAGTGGCATCTGAAGCTGGCTGGACAGCTCCTTGCTGTGGGCCTGACAGCCAGACAGGCACACACAGCCTGTCCAGCTTTTTACTGGCCAGAGGCCTGGGCCGGGGCTTGCTTTAGAGTGAGGGTAACTCATTTCCCTGGTTAGAGGTTCGAGGACATTGGAGAAGTGTGTGGTACAAGCTGGGGGCATTTGGACAAATCTGGCTCTAGGGATGAAGAGAAAATACTAAATAGCAAGGGCGAATCCTTAGTCTCCCTTCCAATTTTTAGCTAGGATTGGTTTAAGAGGTGGGTAATGAGTGGGTAAACTCTTCCCCACTGTCCCTCAAGCAGTATGACAGGAGGAAATGTTGCTGGTTACGACATCTTTCTATCTGCTAGCTTTATTCCTAGATTATAACGAACTCAATCCACAGAAAACCACTGCCAAGAGAATATAAACCGAAACACAGCAGTGAGTCTGAAATAAATATAGAGAGTCATTATCCAGGGGCCCTCAAACTTTTTAAACAGGGGGCCAGTTCACTGTCCCTCAGACCGTTGGAGGGCCGGACTATAGTTTAAAAAAAAAACTATGAACAAATTCCTATGCACACTGCACATATCTTATTTTGAAGTAAACAAAACGGGAACAAATACAATATTTGTATTTGCATGTGGCCCGCGGGCAGTAGTTTCAGGACCCCTGCATTATCCTGTTGCTGCTGTCCACAAATTTCACAGGTGGGGAGGGAAGGAAGCCTATTTGCAGAAAGCTCGGGTGCAAAGGTATCTAAGTGCTTCCCTGGTCTTCCTTTCCTTAAAAGAGCTCAGGCAGAGGCTCTGGGGGAAAGGGATTCTGGAGACACAGAAAAGGCAGCCCCAAAGGATAGCTTGGCGAGGAAGGACTCAGGTCGGTGTTGGCGGGGCTCACCCGGGACTGGCTGGGATGGGTGTAGCCCTGACTCAGCGTTGCCTTCTGAGCAAGAGACGAGTTTGATCTTCCTAAGAAGTATATGCAATAAACCAGAATTTAGTCCCAATAGGAGATTGACTCTGTATTATCCAGCAAGTGCGTTTCAATAGGTGAATTACAATGTGAGCTGATGGGTTACTAGGTGTATTTTGTAGAGGTCTATTGGAGTTTGTTGAGGTTTCTTCAAATCAAGAAGGTAAGAAGAGATCAGTGACTGATAAATCTTTAATATAAAAATTGTACAAGAATTTTGATACAAATTACAAGAGGTATTTGGACAAAATATGAATAAAATTCCATTTACATCCCCAAACCCTTATGCATTTTATGCAAAAGACATACTGTAGACAGTTATAGTACAGAAAATACAACCAAGGAAATAGCAAATAAAAACTTTTAATTCTCTTAGACTACCAATAAAAACAAAACAAAACGAAAACCCTTGTTCAAGGTACATACAGTATTTATGAAGCTACCGACGTCACGATGATGCGACCAGGGTAATGCGCGCAGTCCCCATCCCTCGGTGCCGCCACCTTTCATGGTTCAGACTCTGGTTCCCCAACAGGCTTAGCAGACGAGACTGGTCTGATGCAGATGAGCACGACACAACAACAAAAAAGCAGAAACCCCCAAACTCTGGGGGAGGGAGCAGACATATCTTGGTGAAAATTCCTTTTCCTCAAGATATTTCCGTTCCCTTTGGCCACTTCTGCTGTCCAATATGCAAGTTGAATCAAATGTTTTTGTAACGGAGACGGGCCAGTGGGGGTGGGGTGGGGAAGAAAGGTGAGTGTCCTCACAACTGTGTGAGGGATGCCGCCAGGTCTGAAAGGACCCACCATGATCCGCAGAGAGAACAGAGCGCTTTCCTCCCCCAAAGCCCCGGCTCACCTCCACCTGCGAGGAAAGGCCCAGGTGGCCACAGACCGAAGCCTCCTGGTGTCTCCCCATTCCTCCCCCCTTGACCTCCACAGACCCACATGGAGCGCTCCTGCACTTCTCACACGGGCATTGGTAGGAAAAGGCTAAGATTTCTCCGCAGGGCAGCTGAACCAAAGTTTGCACAGGAAAGCAAGTGCACCATGTATTATAAATCTTCCATATTGGGTTAATATATAATACTAGAACATCTCATTCACTTAATTCACGTTATGTAAACCCTGGACAGGGTAGAACACAAATGTTTCCAAAGCGATCAACATCGGGATGAAGGAGTGTTCTACCTTCTGGCTTCAGAAAAGATTTATTTTTTTTAAGGGGTGGGTGAGATCAGAAGACCAAAGGGTGCAGTGGAAAGAGAATGGAAAGGTCAGGGGAGATTAAGATAGGCAATGAGAGGAATGGATTACTCTGTACAAAGACATGCAAAACGCTCCAAATTGAGTACTAGGTGAAGAAAAAATAAACAATCAGCCTTGGTGTATACATCTCAAGTGAACCGACGAGCTCAGCACATTGTCCAGGAGTTCAAGAGCATCGTACCTCATGAATCAATGCTTCTCCCAGCTGCAGCACTGAATCACCGGCGGGCGGGGATGTTCTGACTCCTCGAACGGAAAAGGCAGGCAGCCAGGCTCCCACCGACGCAGGGCCAGGTCAGGTCACCTTGCAGGGGGCTACCAAGAGGGTAGGGCTTTCCTCCCCACCCCCTTTTTGGAAAATGATGAGTGGGCCTCTCATACCTCCAGGGTCTTCCGAGTCACCCCTCAACCCTCGAATTCCCTAACAGACGTGGGCAGAGCCGGGTAATAATGGATTGATTTGCCATCTTCCTTGTGCATTATTTCAACATCACATTTGGCAACAGGAAGCCTTATAAAGTCTTGGTATAGCACTTAGATACTCTCTCTCTCTCTTCAAGAAATATATTTTTATACTATCTATGTCTCTCCATTTTAGTTAAAATACCTTTTTCGGTTCTTCCTTCTCTTCAAAGATTCTTTAAAAAAATGAAGATTAAAAAAAAAAAAGCTTTAAAAAACTTAGAAATGTCCTTAAGCATCCCTGTTATTTAAAGGGGGAAATGCTACTATTAGCAGACTCTGTGCAATTTTGGCAACTGAGTTTTTAATGAAAGATTCTAATATGATGTTTGAGAAATGATTGTAATATACACATCCTGGAGGAACTTAAAAATATCTCAGGTCAATTGCTTTTCTCTGACACCGAGAATCCTTGCTCAAAGTGCTTTCTTCCCAGTGCCCAGACTGGCTCATGAACCTGCTTAGCACCCATCTGTCAAATCAGACCCGGGAAGGTGTCTGCCTCTAAGAATGCTGTGTTTCTCTCTTTCCATAAGGTCACATCAAAGACGACACCTACATGTGTCTTATTTGGTTGACAAATCTATTTGCAATGTCACTGTTGCAGCCGGATCAACAGCATCTATCAGGCTGGCCTGGGGGAGCCGAAAGGAAGTGTGGGGTCCCCAAGTTCCATATCCCGAAGGTCACACATAGACCTTGCACTTACTTTGGTCACTAATTAGCCACTTGTCAACCGTCCTTTATGTAGGTCAATATGCAGGAATAGCAGCCAATACAATGCCTACAGGTTACTTGGGCTCAAGGCATTTTGGAATATAACATTTCCACGTGTTTTTCCTCAGTGCCTTTTGTCCCCTCATCACTTGATTTTGTAAAGCTCGTTGTACTTGTACTTGGGAAAATTCTCCCAAGGTGGGGAGTTTAACCTTTAGGTACAGGGTAGGCTGTGTTTCAGTGATTAGAATACAGACCCCCGTGCCTTTTATTTTTTCAGATTGTCAGTCCAGTTTAAACAAGAATGAAGGTTAATCTGTCAGGTCACACTGCGGGTTTGGAGGTTTTCATTGAGAGATACATCTATACGTGTAAAACAATGCTTGATGCCAACGCTAAAAACAAGCGCTTTTCTTTACCACCATGCACAGCCAACTGGTTTACAACGTGAACTTTCTGAAGGGGAAGAATATATTGTAAGGCTTCCCTTACAGAACAAGTCAGTGTCTATGCCACTGACGGGTGGGAAATTACAGGGCCATACCCAGTACTCCCCCAATGCATGGGTGTGCAATGGCAATACTTAAGTTCCAAAGATGCGAAGAATGCTGTCATAGCCAGCATCTCTCTACTGACCCTTTATTTAAGAAGTCATGTTGTTACTGTCCACTTAATGGCTGGAGAGGGTATCTAGAGGCAGCCCTGGGCTTAGCAAAGATGCAGTTTTGTGCGAGTGTGTATGGGTCTAAGTGGTGGTGGTGGGAGGGGAGGGAGAGGTGGTGGAGAGAGGGGGGGGGAGAGAGAGAGAGAGAGAGAGAGAGAGAGAGAGAGAGAGAGAGAGAGAGAGAGAGAGAGAGAGAGAGAGGCTGATAGCGAGTGTGTGTACCTCAGGGAACACAGTGGGAAAGCCTAGCCCTTGTACTCAATTTCCCCTTCACAAGGGATAAACAGGCAATTACGCATCCTTTTATATTTGATGGCCAAGTGCTGAACTGGAAAGCGCACTATTAGTTTGTGTCCCTTCAGGGCCAGGGCAATAAGTAGCCAGGGGAGCTGGGGCTGAAGCAGAGAGGGTGTTGTCTGCTGTTAGTGTGACAGTCTTGTCAGCAGCGTTCACATTACTGGAAGGTAATAAAGTGACAAGTAAGTTATTAGAAAGATATGAGGTGAAATTGAACCGAAGCTTCTCGCTGCTCAGCCCCGGCTTCCCCCTTTCCTCCTTTGTAATGGTCCATTATTTGTTACAAACCAAACCTTGTCTGGGTGCTCTATATAGAAAAGAAGATTTTTTTTTTTTTTTGCAGTAAAGGTCAAATGAATTTACAGCAATGCTTTAGAGAAGAAGAATAAAGATAGTTTTATGACAACTATAGTACGTTGCTTCAAAAAATATATAGCATTATAATGAACAATAACGCTGATCCAATTCAGTGTACTTGTAAAAATGCCTCGTTTTTAACTCCCTGTTACTAGGCATTTGGATTTTTCAATGAATGCCAAAAAGACAGTACTGATGTCCAGCTACTGCCGAATGACCACATCATTCTGTGCAAGATGTGAGAATACGGATGACAGGGCCCGGGATGGATGGGTGTCTGGGCAAGAGTGATGATACATTAACGCACCGCTCACTTCTAGTTGGATTTACGTAATTCTAATGGGAAATGAGCATTGATGGTGGGCCACTCTCCAACTACAGGAAATAGGAAAATGATTCTGGGACGGATCAGATGTGGCCTGAATACTAGCACAAGTAAGACTACAACACGTGGTTTAGCGTTGCCAGATGACGTGAAAACAGAGAAGTTAGCTGGATGTTTTGCAGGAAGGTAAATGAGCTCACATTTTGATCAAGAGAACTTTATAACCAAGTAGCATTCCAATCATAGCTACGGGGGCGAGCAAAAGCAGTGATGGAGGACAGACTCAGCTGGCTACCCCTCACTTCTACTCATCACAGTCAGGGCGAGGCTTGACCACCGGCCGTTACTATAACCTAGGTGGACCCATAGCATCCTTTTGCTTCCTAAGGGACTCCAGCATCACTTCACACTCCAAAGAGTCAGAAAAAACCAGCATGACTGCCTCCTTGGCCCTCCTGGCCCTCAGGACCTTGAGCTGTTCCACATAGCTGTCCTTGCTCTCCTCCTTCCTCACCTGGTACAGGCAGGGCACAGCATCAGCACGACCCCATCCACTGCCCGGCAGAATTGCACCAGCCTGGAACACACGCTTTCAGTGCATTTACTATTTCTTTTCTAGCTACCCCCAAACAGGGTGGGCGCCTCCTCTACTTAGTGTGCCTCACTCACTGGGCCTCTGGAACAGCTGGGGTTCCCTCCAGTCTTTGTGGCACCTGCCTTTTCTTGCCCTCCTTACCTGTGGAGACCCTTCCCATTAAAAAAAAAAACCACAACAAAATAACACAAAGAATTGAAAAGAAAAAACCAAAATCCTTTAATAAATATTCTGAGTTTGAGGGAATATGTATTAAAAAAAAATGAAATTTGTTAGTCAGAATTTTTAAAAAAGAAGTTCTTGAGAAAGGGAGCATGTTGATAGAAAGAAGGCAAGGTTTTTCTGGGTGATTTGTTTCTTTAGGAGAGTAGATGTAGCGTCTCTTATTACAGTTGAATTCTATTTACTCTGTTAGTCAATCTAACTCAACACTAACAGTCCAAGTACAAGTTAGGACTGCTCAGGTCAACTGCTAGCAGTTAGCAGCACGTCCACCTCAATCTGGTTACCGGCTTCTTTATGTTCTAATTGCCAAGGGCTCCCCTTCTCATTGGCTTGGCACACACCTGGGGTGTGTACAGAGGATGGGGAACAAAAGGTCACATTTGTTTTATTTGGTGAGAACCTAATGCATGGTTTCTCCTGAGTAAAATGAGGAGAATGCCTCTGGAACAGCCCATTCATGGTATAGTCAAAGCCTGCTTTTTTTTTTTTTTTTTTTTTTTTTAAGAGCAATGTATACACTAACAGGGCTGTTAACCAGTTAAGTGCCATTTGCCTCTTACTGAAAGGGCCTGGAAGTTCACAACCAAAGGAATCATATACTACAAAGACAGTGGCACCCTTGTGTTAAAGACGTTTTCAAAAACAGATGTTTATCATCTCCAGAAGGAAAATATTAACACCTGTAAACCTTTAGAAGGTGACAGGATGAACGGGGTGGCTGGACTATGACCGGAAATGTGTTACATTGGGTTGAATTATTTCAATACAATTAATGGCAGAACAAAGAGTGTCAAGCTTTTTATCACATTTTAAAAACCAAATTACCTATTACCTATCCCTTCTCCTGCTCTTTGTCATCCCCCTCCATAGCATGCAGATATTCCCTAAAGCAGAAGCTTTTCTGATATTTACAAAAGCATAGTTTAAAATGATCAGAACAGTAATTTCAACATCGTCTACTGAACATGCACATTCATAATACTTCCTAATTTTGTACCTGTAACAAAAGTCTGGTTAAAACCAATCCAATGGGAAAAAGCCGCTTAGATGAAAACCAGCGTCACTATTCATTTTCAGCCAGCACAGAATGGATGCAGCTAGAGAGAAAACATTGCACAATAGGAATCTCCTGTGAAAAGCAAATGAGTAGGGATGGGCAAAGATGAAGGGCTCCATGATTAACATGCTGATCTCTCTATCCTTCCTGTTTGCAAATAAGCCGTGGGATCACCTCTTAACTAGAGTGGTAGGTAAGGTAAAACATTGCACACAGGCACCAGCAATACGTTGGGACTAAAAGCATTGTACGTTTCATGATCCACTCCCCCTGTCCCTTTTAGGCAAATCGGCTTTGTGTTGGAAAATGTTATTCACCCATGTAGAAGGCCACCATTCCAATCTGGGCATTTGAAGCACAAAAGAAGTAGCAATTTGGGAAGATATTTAAGTAGGGTGAGCTGTCCAGGACTCACTGCCATTTCTCTGACAAAATGCCGCTGAGCACTTCCATGTTTCAGAACAAGGGAATTTCTACTTTGGGAATCTCGTCGCATCTAGACTTGTTCTAACTGGCTATCCACCTTAGCCCGATTGTGGCAAGTAACACACATTAGTTCTAAGCCTGGTTCATTTGCTGATGTGACCTGCTGAAAGCTAGGTAAGTCACTCACTAGGGCTACCTGACCTTTCAGGTGACATTAAATTAAACAGGCTAAACATTAATTCTGTACAGGATGAGTTCCAACAGCTTAACCAAGAGTGTACCTTTAAAAAAAGTAAAAATGTGTTATTTTAATAAAACTGGGTACAATTCTGTCTCCACACACTCCAAAAAAGCTAGTTGTTTCTGTGATCTCCTGTTGGGATGCTAAAAACATTTCCCGCACCCTTTTGAACGGAATCACTTGGTAATGGGTCAACAGCGCAACACAGAGAACGCTAAGAGGACCAACATGTTTGCAAACAAACTTTCATTATTCTAGTTCAATCTTTCACAAACATACTGTACAGAGTCTAATATGGTATAAAACAAAAGGAAACATCTCTGTCTATTCCATTTAACACAACATCAAAATAAAGCCATTAGGACTTTGGGGAATCCAAAGGTACAAGAAAACAACAACAGTTATTACTAATTCCTCAGCTTTTTTACCGTAAACATTTGTCATTTAAGAGACATAGTGTTTAGTAAGGTTTCTTTTGTACTGCAAGTACTTTTGGTCTTTCCTCACCGTGGAACAAATGAAGAATTAAATGAACCCCATAGCATCCTCTGAAGGAGATGAAAAGATAAAGCTCCAAGACACATCTAGCTTATCTCTAAGAATCTATTGTTTCTGCACTTTTCACAAATAAAAATACTGAATCCACAACTAATGATGCTTATTTTTTGGAAACAATAAATACTGTGAGGTACAATACGTCCTATAGGAATAAGAACAACAGAACATATCAATAGTTTCCTTTGGCAAATTTAACGGAAGTGAATGCTGATGTGAACATAGAAAAAAATAATTACAAAACATATGAAAAATGGAAATGAAATGAAAAGCTAAAACAAAGGGGGTAGGTATTTCTAACATTTAGATTGACGAGAAATGTTTGAGGCCATTAAATGCAGAAAAGAAATACATTCTCTTGAAATTACTGTGTACTGTTTGACAAACTATTCCTTGTTTATCTTTCCCCCCCTTCACTTAAGAAAAAAAAAAAAGACAACAAAACAGTCTGCAATGCACACCCTAATGGTTTTGGCTGCAGCCTGAACTAGAGTAAATATCATCATTTAGTCAGTATGTTGTGGTAGCTGAGGCTGCCGATGTGGTTAACCAGCTCAGGCAACATGTGTAAACATCAGAAACAAAACAAAACAAAACAGGTTTGGAGAATCCTCTCCCCTCCACCCCCCCCCCCCCTTTCTCACTCTCGATTGCTTGGTCTTAGGCTTGTTTTCATTTCTCTCCGACAAATCGCGCAGGGAAACACAAAACACTAACCAGTGAGAGATCCTGTGTTAAACCCCCGTCCTCTGGCTTTTCAGAAGGGAGTGTTGCTCAATTCAAGGTCAGCACATGTTTTAAAAGCTTCCAAGTGCGGCTGCTGTTCAATGCCTTTTGATTTTGTGTATCAAAGGGGCCTGAATCACAGCACTACTGCAGGACTTGCAACAAATCAGCCAGCCATACAACAGCCCCGCCCAGCTCAGACTTTCTCTGTCTTTTTAAAGGATACGGGTTAGGTCCTTGGAAATGTGTGCCCAACTCTCTTACTGTATGCAGCTTTGTTCCATAGTGAGTAATTTGGGCTTTTGTGTCCTGAAATATTATCCTGCCTCTAAAGAATAAACGCCGTGGCTGTTTCACACCACATAATTTTGTTTTCCTTTTATGTTACTTAACATATAAGCAAGAAGGATGCAATGTTGATTCTAATAACATTCGGCACTTGAAAGAATCACCAAGTGTTTCTTTTTTTTAAAGCGGTTTTCTGGTGGCCGACAAATTGGCCTGTGGTTATGTTGAGTGACTAATTGTATTTTCTTTTCTGGAAACTTGTGCAAAGTTGGCAGTTTTGTGTTAACATTAATACTTTTGTTTGGCATTTGTGCCCTATACTGACCAGACCATTTTTATGCAAGTGAATTTTTGTTGTTGTTGTTAAAAAAAGACACTTATTTAAAGTATGGCAATAGTTTAAGGGTAAAAAAGAAGCATGGATATTACACATCCCCTTGTAGTGTATGAAAAAAAGTGCATGACGGGATTTATGTACTAGTACAGGACGTTTAAAAAATCAGATCTGTGCTGTAAAGCATGCCAGCACCTCTTTATCACTATATCTAGCAGGTAGTAAAAACAAGACCATGTTTTTTGTTTGTTTTTTTTAAAAAAATGTGCATTAATGCTAACATAAATGAGTAGAGCTAGCCAGCAAACTATTTTTTTTCCTGCATATCTAACAGCTGGATGTAACTGTAAAAGTTAAACAAAAGAGATAAACAACATCAATACAATTGTTTTACATCATTAGCCTCTCAAGGCTATATATTTACAGGTGAATCTGCCATGCTGTAGTTGAAGATTCTCTCAAAACTTTAAAGTTCACAAAAGACAGCTATTAAGAAGTTCCTTGTTTCATTTTTCTTTTTTTTTTATCCCTTTTCTTTATTTCTTTTTTTTTTTTTTGCAGGCAACAGTCATGGGTACAACAAACTGTCTCTTTGGAGAGGACCAAGAATTACCATTCTGTCAAAATTTGGGCTACTTGCACGCTTTATGTGTGTGTGTATGTGTTTTTAAAGGGTACTTAGTTTTCACTCCCAAATGAAAGGTCCCACCCCTTTTCCAAAACTATAAAGGAAAAAAAATTCCAAAGCACTTAGTGTTTATCATTTTATATCTAAAGAAAAGAAAATGTGTGTGTGTGTGTATGTAGACGCAGAGGCATACGTGTGTACACGTACACACACACGCACACGCACACAAGTACACAAGCACACACTGACTATGGCAGTTCAAATATGTAGGCCGTCTGGTGAGAGCTGGCATTGGTAGTGTCCGTTCTGAGACTAATCTACTGACACGAAGGGAATGTTTTTGTGGAGATTAGGGTTCTGACTGTGCCGATTTCGGCTTCGCACAGAGGAAAACATCATGTTGCAACCGGGGACTTTGCACTTGTGCATTTCCCGCAAATGCACCGTCTTGTAGTGCACCCTCAGGGTCCCCTTGTTGCTGTACATTTTGTGGCAAATGTTGCACATAATCCCACCATTGCTCCCGGACAAGCTGTTGAACATCAGAGATCCCGACACTTCAGCCCCGAGGCCGCCAGGGAGGGCGGGGGCCTCGGCCTTGTGAGCGGACTCCCCACTGTCACTCGCCCCGTCGATGTCGTCGAGAAGGATGCCCTCGTCGCTGCCCGCGTCGGACTCTCGGGAGGAGTGGATGCTGCTGCTGGACTGCAGGCTGGAGGTGGTGCTGAGGTCCAGGACCATGTAGTCCTCCGCCATGCCGCGCCCGTACCCGTTCAGGTGCGAGTCCTCGGTGCCCGCGGGGGAGGAGGCCTCTTCCCTGACGTCCAGGCCCAGCGGGTGCTGGGCTCCATAGATCTTCATCAAAAATTCGTCCCGGAGGTCCTTGCTAAGGGAGGGCTGCGAGGAGTCCAGGCCCATGTCATCGAGTTCTTTGGTCAACAGTTTCCGATGCAGATTTATGTTGGCACTGTGTCTAGGAAAACAAGAGGGAAGGGGGGTGGGGGTGGGGAGCGGGGAGCGGGTGGGAAGGGGGAGAAAAAGGAGAGCATTTTAAAATGGATTCGGCTTTTTGCTAGGCATCCAATAAGCACATTCATTGCTAATTACACCATTATAAAAGCAAACATTTCCCCACATCCTCAGGATTTGGGAATAAGTGGTGGTGGGAAGTGCAATAAGGGAGCTTTTCATTAACATAATTTTTATAAGAGAGTAAAATTCTTCAATGGTAGGGTGAATGGGAACCCAGGCACCTTTTTCTCAATGATTGTTCTGTTTGCTTTGCTAGGTCGCAGCATCAGCTACAGACAATCTCATAGCAGAGGTTTTAGAACAGAAATTAAGTGGGATAAAAGAGTGGGAACTTGCTGCTTGTCAAAACTGAATATTTTAAATTGACCTAAAAACAGAAAACCTTTTTTTTTTTCCGACAGCAAACACTTTATTTAAAAAGGATCCAATTTAAAAATACTACATAATCTAGGTAATTTAGGTTTAACTTAGAAAATAATGAAATCTTGCCCCTTACCTTTCCACACTTCAAGTTTTAGGTAGAAAAAAAAATTAGTTGAGTATATTAGCAATTAGAAATAGGGTTACAGACTTTTTAACATAAGTGCTTTTTCCAAGATTGATTTGGGATATCCGCTAAATCTAATAGTACAACATTTTACAATTGAAAAGTTTTCAGAAGTTGCTACATTTTAGAGTTGAAAAATTTTCATTAGGCAATTCAACTTTTTAAATTTAATTATTCTTTTTTAAAGTTGAAAAACAGATACTGCTTTTTGGAAAAAAAAATAAAAACCACCCACTTTTTTTTAAAAAAAATCACATTAAACAATAGGAAACCCAAAGGGACAAAAGGAATAAAATGCCCACAATAAATACAAAAAAAAAAATAAATAAATCAGGCACAATGATAACATATGGTCTCTGTAGTGTAACAATGGAATCCGTATTTCTTAGACAAGCAAAACTTTTCTTCCACTCACTGAGTGCTTTGCTTGTGTAAAAAAAAGGTAGGATTTGTCCCAGAACATCCATAGGGATGTCATGACTTCCAAAACATGACATGTCATTATCTATCTGAAGACATGGCCTGTGTATTTACATCCCCCGTTTATTTTCAAAGTGCCCTTGGGCATATACCTCTCTCCACCTGCGAAGGCTCACATGTTTCACAAGCACCTAAATTGAGGGCTACCCTTCCAGAAGATAAACCAGTAAACAAATTACAGATACATAAAAGCTTCTCCATGATGGCAGAAGCTCTACATCTTGGAGAAGTCATTGTGATCATCGAAATGACCTAGAATAGCCAGCATCAAGTTCACCAGACCTCCTGATTACTAAATAGAAAGTATGGAAGACCCAAAGAGTCACTGCGTTTGGTGACAAGCATGGCTAATATTTTTTAGAGGTGGTTGAGAGGTATGTGCCTCAGAGACAAGAAAGGTGAGAAAGAATTCCCCACCTTTCCACACAAAACAATAAATATATATAGCACTCTGGGTGTGAAGGGGGAGAGGGGCACAGCCCCTCTCCACGCTGCGCTTAGGAAGGCTGAGCTTACCTTGTGATAATAAGATCAGCTTTCTAATCTTTTGCTAAATCGATCACAAAAGAAAGCAAGAATGAGAGATAGAGAGAGAGAGAGAAAGAGAGAGAGAAAGAGAGAGAGAAAACAAATTCACATTCTAGACATTTGGTTTTTAAAAAAACAAACAACAATATAGGGATTTAAAATGTTCTGATCACAAAATCATTTTCTGTCATAAGCGATCATCTCATATGCTGTCTTTATGATTTTTGGATCAGCTGCATAATCCAAAAATCATAAATGAAATTAAGATAAAACAAATTCACAGCATCAGCGTCATCCATAAATGAGTTCTACACAGATGCATGCAGGGTGCAGATAGGTGAATGATAAACAGAAGTTGTCCCCATGATCCCTGCTCTGACAGTCTCCCCATTTCTTGGTGTCAGATGGCAGATAATCTCTCCAAGTGCAGGTTGCTAAGCAGAGTGCAGGAAATGCCTACTGCGACATATGGGTATGACACCACCAGAGTTATTACAAGAACGTGGAAATAGAGTTATACTATGCACTATCACTCTGCTGATAAAACAATCTGCCAGCTATAAGCAGCTCAGGAAATCGTACACTTCTCTGTTTATTATCTTGAACACCCTCCCTCGCTTTCTTAATCACAAGCACACATTTTGCGACTGCCTGCAATCTAGAACTGTGTTGCTTCTCAGACATCTGCAGTTACCACTTCCTAGATTGACTGCTGAGAACACAGCAGTCACATAAAGAAACACTGAATAAGGAAGAATAAATTAACATTGACAAAAGGACACACTGATCACCCAGATGGACACGTCTTTTCTAAAATGACTTGTGAAATTACACATCTCCACCGATATGTTACCAGGAAGAGATGCTTCTCCTCATTTCTCACTTACAGCAATAGAAATCTGTAATCTAATTAGATGATGTACCAGCCCTCAATATCTGTCAGCCAAACGATGTGCAGAAATGTGTAGACCCGCTCTGGCCCTCGGCTCAACAGTGTCCCTTTTCCGCTGTCAGCAGTACTGTTGGCCTCTGCTAATATAATTACATTGACTTTTATTCAATTAAGTGCCATCCTTCGGTTAAAAAAAAAAAGCTACTTTATCAATTGATTCAGGTGTAATGCAATAATAGAGATGAACTCATGGCAGTGCATTAGCTCTGCTGTTCGTAACTTCAGTACATGGGTTCATTCATGGTAGTCGATTTCCATTATGCAACCACAGTTCAAGGGAATTGATTCTTTATGTTCATTTTTTAATTTATTCCATTTTTGTTTAATAATCCTCCTAAATGCCATATGCAAAACACTTGAAGTGGGGACAGGAAGGATGAGCTGTGGCAAGCCTGCTAGTTGACTCTCATGATAGTGAGCTTTTGAGATTTTCTAACAAACTCACACAGTATCGCGGGGGTAGTAAGAGGAAAAGCAAGAGAAGGAGAAAGACTGAACTCCTTAGAGTACTGATCCTGTCGCTTCAGACGTTAGGTTCAGCCTCTAGAGAATGGACAAATGGCAGCACTTGCTTTTAACAAAGACCTATTGTCACACTCTGGCATCAGCCAATCCAAACCATTAACTGTCACAAAATACAGTTTTCCTGAAGAGATACAAAGACCTGGGGCCAACAGCAACTTTCAAGTTTCTTTGGATCAGAGAAGTGAAGAGGTAAACAGAAAGGGAAGATGAAAAAGGCACAGAAAGAACTCATGCTATACACAGAGGATCCCCAAATGGGAGGAAAACCTCAGAGTTCTGTAAATAGGAGGACCCCCTTGTAGAGGAAGAGGAAGCCATATGCAGTTGTATAAGTGGAGGAAGGAATCCACGAAGGAACCAATTTTGAGTTCTCTAGAAAGAGAGATGGTTTATCTAGAAAACAGACTGTTTTGAATGTTTGTCTCCAGAAAAGGGGGAAAAAATAATCATTAACAAAATTCCAGAATGTATTAGAACTTATATTTTATGAGATTATAACTGTATAAAAGCTGTTTCTACTTGCTTTGATTAGGTCAGCAATAGAGATATGAAGAGGCAAATTCCTCTCACAGAAAAAAAAAAAAATGACTGGGGTAGAAAGCGAAGATGAATTCACCAGCAGAAATGATAAGGTTCTGGTATTATTAGGGATCTGGTCTTCATGAACACAGTAGTGCTTATTAAAAGACTAGTCCAAAACTTAGCTCCAAAATGTTCACTTTCAAGAATAACACAAACTAAATCTGATTCGACCTCCAGTCTCTTGCAGTAGACTGCTTTGCACATGGGAGATGCTGAAAAATACATTTATTTACTTTCAATCAATATTATGCCTGAGTCTTAAGAAGCTTTCCCAAAAATGCACTGTAGAAAACAATGATCCCAAGATTGGAATCATGTAACAGAGGAATATTTAAGCAAATACAATGGTAATACAGCAGAGGGTAATTCTGACCCCATTAATAATCCACTAGTGTGGTACAAGGAACTGCTATGTAATTAGGGCGTGAACAGTCCTATACTTTGGGCTATGCTTAGAATTACAATGTTCCCTCAGACCCTCTGCACTCTTTCCTAACCCTTCCATACTGTGAGTTTACTAAAACCTCTTGAAAACTAAGATCACCCTTAAAAGCAAAAAGTAACGAGGTCTATATTATATAGGAGAGATCATAACACCAAACTTGTTTTTTGAAATGCTAAGTGGAAGTACTCTGACTGAAAGTAGACTATATATATATATATATATATATATATATATATATATATATATATATATATATATATTTGGGGTGTGTGTGTGTGTATACTAGTATGTATATATATATGTATATATATGGGGATAGAGAGATACATTTACATCCAATCTGGAAAAACCTAGATGCCAGGTTTGAGTGTACTGTGGGATATTGAATCAACAATATTCCTGGACAGAAATGTAAATCTGCTATCCAAATTGACAGAAGAAAAATTAATTTTGCCCCACTTAATTCTCTTCTTATCTGGCTTGCTATAACACTACCTGTTGTCCTTAACTGCTCAAAATTTTTATATTACCATTTATTAATTGTAGGATACTTAGTCTTGTGAATTAAATGACATTTTTGATAGTATGCATTTCTGCAAAAAACTAGTCTGTTTTATAGGTTATTATTTAAAAATTCTCTCCAGAAGATCTGAAAACCGTTCCTAGCTCAGAAAAAAAAAAATTCAATGTAAAATTCTAGTGAACAACATTTTAAAAAAATACATAAAGTAAAGAAGTACATATTAAATGCAAGATGTAAAAAAGCTAAGCAAATTCTTGCAAATTAAAAGTATGAAATGCAGTCACTTCAATCCCTTTCAGTATAAAACAAATCATCCACACTGGTCACGCAGACAGTTCCCACTACATTCAAATTATTCA